CACAAACATTCGTGTTTGGGAGTCTTATTAGATTGTGTTTGGTGGGCATGTGATTGTGTTCCTGAGAAGCAGTGGTGGTCAGCCATCAAATCAATGACAAATTTGAAAGGAAAACAAAAAAATACAAACTAACCCTTCAATGTTTTTTTCTGTTGTATTCTCATTATTTGTGTTTTGTTATTAACCCTCCATAAGTCAAAATAACCAGTTAAAAAACATTAAGTCATACCACTTACAACAAGGGTTATTATGGTAATTAGGATTTTTTTATTGTACGAGAAGGGATAATCAAATTTGAATGCAATGGGGCGGGCTTGAAGCACCTTGGAATCTTTTATATTTCAAACAGTGTGCTTGAATGAGTCCAATTCCTGAGACTGAACTCAAATGGCTTGGTCCAATCCAAACTCACTTAATCGGTTCATGTTTGTGATGCATGTGAACATTTTCAGTACCAGGCTCGTGTCATTGAAATTTAAATCTGATAAGAATGTGTCCCTCAAAACAAAAGAGGGGTTAACATCTAAATCTAATGGCATGGCTGTCTTTGTCATACTCGCTTGGTCGCTTACCAACTTTTTTTATTATTAAATATATTTGTTTTGTTTTCTGGGTTGCTTGGCTTACTTAGTCATTAACAATGAACAGAAAGGGAGGCCTGCAATGCAATGCCATTGAGTTAGTCAGGATATAAATATTTTATTTTCTTTTGCTCGTTTCAACAAGATATCAGTTGATTGAAGCATTGGTCAAACACCAAATCTAGTTCTTTGATGATTTTTAATTTCTCACTAAGCTTGTTTCTTTTTGCTGTAATCTTTGTGTTAAATATGAGTATTATTTGTGATTTGCAAGTGGTGCTTGGGAAGTTTCCTAATCATCCTCTTCATTGCCAGTTGACATCTTTCAAAAAAAAAAGAAAAAAAAATTGTTACCATTGAAAGTTCAAACCATGAAGATTTCAAATGGAACTGTTCAAACTTAGACAGCTTCAAGTTTGTGCTGTGCAGCTAGCTATAGCTACACACGTTTTACCAAATCCATACTTCACCTTTCTTCTTAATTAAACTATAAATATGCAATTAAGGTCAGCTATTTCCATCATCTCCATCTCTCCACAGCTCACTTCCTCATCTTTTTTCATATCATTTGCTCGTTCAGTTACAATATTCATTTTATCTAATTTATTAGGTGTTGAAAATGAGTGCCGAAATGTTAAGAATGAGTTTGATCTTCGTTTTGGCCATGTCTATGGTGGTCTTCATGGCAACAGCAGCTCCGAAAGTCGGTTTCTATCAACGGAGTTGTCCTTCTGCAGAGGCAATTGTGAGAAAAGCTGTGAACAAAGCTGTGGCAAAGAATCCAGGCATAGCTGCTGGCCTCATCAGAATGCATTTCCATGATTGCTTTGTTAGGGTAAGCTTCATTCACATGCATGAATAATATTCTACATTTTATAATTAATTATATTTGAACTAATTAATCACAACTAACATGTGTTCTTTATTGTTTCAGGGTTGTGATGCCTCTATCCTACTTGATTCAACTCCTGGACAACCATCCGAAAAAGAACATCCAGCAAACAATCCGAGCTTGAGAGGCTTTGAAGTGATCGATGAGGCCAAGGCCAAGATTGAAGCTAAATGCCCCAAAACCGTGTCATGTGCTGACATCCTTGCATTTGCTGCTCGTGACAGTGCACTTAAAGTTGGTGGGATAAATTATGACGTGCCTTCGGGGCGGCGAGACGGAAGAGTTTCCCTCCAAGATGAGCCTACGCAGCACCTCCCCTCACCTTCCTTCAACGCCAAGCAACTTGAGGAGAGTTTTGCCCGAAAAGGCCTTAGCTTGGATGAAATGGTCACATTATCCGGGGCACATTCTATTGGTGTGTCACATTGTTCTTCCTTCTCTGATCGCTTGTATTTCTTCAATGCCACTCATCCACAAGACCCTTCAATGGATCCCATTTTTGCTAGGAACTTGAAAAAGAAGTGCCCTAGATCATCAAACAATGATCGAGTTACAGTGCCGCTTGATGTTCTTACACCAAATAGGCTTGACAACAAGTACTATACTGATTTGAAGAACCATCATGGCCTGCTTACATCAGATCAAACTCTTCTTACCAGCCGTTCGACAGCCGGGATTGTGAGGAACAATGCCAGATTTGGTACAGCTTGGGCTAATAAGTTTGCTGCAGCCATGGTGAAAATGGGCTCCATTGATGTCCTCACAGGAAGGCACGGTGAGATCAGGAACAACTGCAAGGTTGTGAACTAGAACACATATATAGGGATTTATTGGCTCCATGATCAAATTGGAGCTTTGTTTTGTTGGTCACACACACATAATTGTATGAAATTGATTCATTAAACTTGTTTATTAGTAAGCTTTTTGTGTTTAATTTTTTATAAACACTCCAATCGCAAACCTATGCATTAAGTCAACATCTTCATATAAATAACTAAAACAAATGAATTAATAATATCATGTGTAACCAAAATCATTGTACTAATAAAGTCACTAAACTAATTTGTTGGTCCAACCCAACTTGTCAAAGACTGAATTCTGTGAAATTGAATATCAAAATTTTCCCTCTTTCTGCCAAGTCACATATGTTCTCAGTGTGGTAGGTTTATGAATTAAAGCAGGTCAGTAGATTAAACTGCAAAGGTAATAAAGTGCAAGGAAAATGCCAATGTCTTGGGATTTAAGGCTCTTACCCATCTCAGTTTGTGGTAGGTACCACCATAAATTCTACACCAATGCCATAAAATCCCACTAGAGGGATGGAGGAGGGATGGTTAGTTGGCATCTCCCCACCTACACCTTATATTAACTTCACTGAAAACTGGTTAATTAGTTAGTGTCATTTTTACCATGGTTAAATATCAGTCACTTGAATTTTCCAAAATGACCTTGAATTAATTCCATGTATGGTAATTAGGAGAAGGGTTATTTTGATTATCCTGAAGTGGAAGTCTTTTGTACTATAAGAAGGGTGGGTTTGCCATGATCTTCCTTCACCCCTGTAACAAATTTTAGAGTGTGAGCTCGACTCAAAACTGTAGAGAGAGAGAAAGAGAGAGAGCTTAAAGCAGCAAAAGGTCTTTTAATATTTCTTTTGAGGCATGGAGAGAGTGAGTAAGGTGGTGCTGATCCTGACCACTATCCTAGTGGTTGCTGCATTGGATGTTGAAGGAGGAAGGCGGATCAAGAGTCATGACGAGAATGGAGAGGGCGTTGATGAGCCTCAGAACTTCTATGGAGGAGCTGCAGGAGGCATCTTCCCAGGCCCTCCAGGGTTTGTTACTGGGGTTAGCTTTGGACCATCAGGCCTCTGCACTCTCCCTGGAGGCTGTGTTCCAGTCCCAGTCCTCCCCACTATCCCTGCTGTTCTTATTGCTGGTGGCTCAGTCCCACTTACACCATGACTCAGAGACCAGTTTGGCTAGCTGCACCAGGGTCTGCTACTTGTATCTGGTTTTAGTGGTCTGTTTGAAATCTTTCATTAGGTCTAATTTGTGTTTGGTTTAGTCTTAATTAGTGTGTTTTTCTGGTTTGTGGGGGTGTTCAGTGTTGGGTCTAGAACAACGTGCTGGGTTGATGATCAGCTCTAAGTTGTTGATGCTAGCAGAAGATGTAGCTACCGAGCTACGGGACTAGAACACGTTGTCTTAGTTTATCTAGATATATCTATATATATAATATATATATATATATATATATATATATATATATATATATATATATATATATATATATATATATATATATATATATATATATATATATATATATATATATATATATATATATATATATATATATATATATATATATATATATATATATATATATATATATATATATATATATATATATGTTATGGTTGATAAATGTGATGGTGTGTTATTGTAGCAGCCCTATAAATGAAGAAGAGTCACCTCACTTCACTAGTTTCTTGGTAATCTCTTTGTCCCATGACCATGAGCTGCAATGCAAGCCGTGCTTTACCTTATTCGAAGAACTACTTCTCACATTACATTTGGACCCACTTACTTGTTTAACAGATTGGCTGGAGGTGAAATTATGTTACATGTGAAATTGAAAATTAACATCTTACATTTGCCCATCTTCCCAAGATTTGGACATGAACAAAAACTACAGAACTAATATTTCCAATATTACAACAACAGATACTGAAAATGCAAAGTAAATGAATAGTACAGTTCACACAACCAGAAAGTGTAAGTTGGCCTTTCATTTAAAGAAAAAGATTTAAAACATCAATCCACTAATTATTAAAGAAAAAATTAAAAAAAGGACCCACGTATAGCCGAGCGGCTATACTTTTGAATATAATATATTAAACAATATAGCCGCGCGGCCATACTATTTATTATAAAAATAAAAATAAAAAGGACCCGGGGATAGCCACGCGGCTATACTATTAATTTAAGAAAAAATTTAAAAAAAACACGTGTAGCCGCTCGGTTATACTCTTTTAATATATTATATTTAAACAGTATAGCCGCGCGACTATACTATTTATTATAAAAAAGGGACCCGGGTATAGCCGGGCGGCTGTACTATTTATTTATCAAACATGGACAAAATTTTTTAAAAACACGGAGTATGGCCGCGCGGCTATACTATTAATTTGTCTATTTATTAAAAAATAAAGAAAAATGACCCAGTATAGCCGCGCGGCCGTACTATTTATTAAAAGAAATATAATTTTAGCAAGTTACAATTGAAAAGTTCCGCCTATATATAATATCCTACAATAATTTATTTTAATATTTTAATAAATATTATTTTTAATCAATAATATGTGTAGAATATTTGAAGTTTGTGTGTATTATTGAAAATTTGGTAAAAAACACGTGTATTAAACATGAAAAATACGTATATACGTGTACAATACGTGTATTTTATGTTTGCTTTTTTTAAAAAAATTGTATTTTACCGAGCCTTTAAGACGTGTACAGAAAATGGACCAAGTCAAGTGGAGCTCATATCCTGTTGATGCCAAGTAAGTGGTAGTTTACTTGCTCGACACAGGTAGAGGTAGCTTGTTTATTTAGTGTGGAAGGCTAATTAATCACAAATAACATGTGTTCTTTCAAGGTTGTGATGCTTCTATCCTACTTGATTAAACTCCCAGAAAACCATCTGAAGAGCATCCAGCAAACAATCTGAGCTTAAGAGCCTTAAAAGTGATCGATGATACCAAGACTAAGATTGAGGCTAAATGCCCTAAAATTGTGTCATGTGCTGACATCCTCGCATTTACAGCTTGTGATAGTGCACTCAAAGTTGTTCGGCAAGACAGAAGAGCTTCACTCCAAGATCACCTCCCCCCACCTTCCTTCAACGCCAAGGAACTTGAGGACAGTTTCGCCCGAAACAGCCTTAGCTTGGTTGAAATGGTCACATTGTCCAGTCACATTCTATTGGTGTGTCACATTGTTTATTTGATTCTCATAACTATCTACTTCCCCCCAAGGGCGGATGTATAGCTAGGCTGGAGTGGGCTCCAGCCTTGGGGAAGATTTTTAAATATTAGATATAGTTAAGTTTATTCCTACTCCAATAAATATTAGTCCACTACACCAAATAAATATAATAAACTAATAATAGCCCAATTTAAGTAAAGTAAATAATAGCTTTATTTAAAATAAGCTCACTCCTAACGCATATAGGAAATAATAAACATCAATCCAAACCTATATAAATTTGATTAGAAGCAGAACTCACGCTAAGGCTCTACCAACTTGACCTATTCTAATCATATTGATATTGGGCTACACCCACAGAGAGCAAACATAAAAAAAATTCTTCTAGCCACCCAAAACGCCATATTTGAACCTTGAGAGCCTAGAGGAAATAGTTCTCCTCCTCTAAAAAATTGTACCAACCTATCTTCAGTGGTATATTTATTTATATTTCGTACTTTTTTGTGTTATATTTGCTTGTAATGTGACTTTGTTTGATTTATAAAATTTTATTTACATTTTTGTTTCAATAGAAAAAAGGCTTATAATATATCTCCTCTAAAAAAAAAAATTTAGCCTACCCCTATAAAAATTCTTGGGTCCGCCATTGCTTCCCCCTAAACCTTTATTTATTTTTCCTTGTATGCATAAAATCCTAATGCGTTCAGATTAAAAGAAGCCAAATTAGCGTTAGTCCCAATATCAACACATTAAATAGTTTAGCCTGAATAAAATGATAGAACTGTCTTCAAAACTTAGGAGAAGTACTAATTTATTTCTCAAGTCTCTGCAAATGTACACATAGGTAGGCACATAATAGTTGCATTTATAAACAGAACACATTTGACATATAACCTGATTACAAGATATTTCTATTTTTGACTAGACATAAAGAAGTGAAAAATACCATTCTGAGATATGTGGAAGGTTAATCACTAACTTTTTTTTTTACTTCGTTTGTGTTATTGAATTTGCATTTTAGTTCAAACCTTGTGCCTGCAAATGGTCATAGCAGAGCTTTAAGCAATTACACAGGCCAGTGTTGGTGTTCATGTAGCAATAATTGGGTCCTTGTCAATCCACTGCAACTATATATTGAACTAGCATTAGAACATATTCATTGTGACAGATGGGTGAGCGAAGAGAAGCTTTGAAAGAGCTCAGAGATCAGTTACAGCGGAGTGGCAGTGGAGCTTCAGCTGCTGAACGCCAAATTTTTGGGAAAGCTCTGGTTTCAAATCGTGGTGTCCATGTCCATGTTGATCTTGGTGGTGTTCTCAAAGCGAAGAAATAGTTGCGCTATCGAGCTGTTGATGTATAAAGAACATGAATCTTCAGTTATTCAAAATTTGATTCAAATTAACAAAATATTTTTTCCATGCAAAAGAATTTAATCAAGTGATTATCGGTTGCACCTTTTCATACATTTTAATTGCTCAATTTCCATCCAAATCTCTTTCTCTACAATTCACCTTTTGTTTTCCGTGCCCATAGGATCCCGGCTGATTAACATTTACCAGTCAACCAATCTTCTTTCCCATCAATTTTGTCAGCATAAATGCTTCCCGGCTTGTTACAATATTTGCCATGGTTTTGCAGATACTCGGACTCAATATATGTGCTGACACCCTGGTGGAGATGCCATGAGAAGAGGTATCTCTGGTGGTCAAAAGAAGAGACTGGAAACAGGTAATGCAAATAGAAACAGTGATAGTTTTGGAAGGTTATGCACTGTGCTCACACCCATAACATTCACTGGTTTTACTTAGATTACTAACTGCAAAACATCAGCTTTGACCTACCTTAATTACTGGTGTCAATTAAAACTTTGCAGCGGAGATGATCACTGGTCCGACAAAAGCTTTTTTCATGGATGAAGTAACAAACGGCTTAGACAGTTCCACATCATTCCAGATTGTTGCTTGTCTTCAGAAGCTGGTGCATATATATAACAGATGCTACTTTACTGGTTTCTCTTCTTCAGAATGCACTGGAGACCTTTGAACTCTTTGATGACCTTATTTTAATGCGAGAAGGGAAGATTGTTTATCATGGTCCATGAGATGATGTCTAGAATTTTTTGAGGATTTAAGTGTCCTGAGAGGAAAGGGGTTGCCGATTTCCTTCAAGAGGCAAGTGCATTGCAACTTATGATACTTGCTTATCTTTCCAGGCTTTCATTTCTTCAAATTAAAGCATCAGTTAACATCATTTGTGCTTTTGCATTTACACTTCTTAATTCATTGCTTTGGTGGTAAACACTTACTGTGTAAAACATAGTTGCAATACAGAGGGAGCCTCTATCACTTGTGAGGATCTTAAACTAGCACTGGCAGAAGATGTGATCCATCTGCATCTGCTTGATCCCATCATTCTAGAATAGCAGGAGCAAGAAGTTGCTATGTGACTCATTTCCTACTATAGCCTTTGCAGGAACAATATAGAGCTTGTATGACAGTTGAGTACCCCACGTCCTGGTTCAAGAGATCCTACATTTTGCCACCTGCTTTTCGCAAAATGGCTGGAGACAATTCAAATCTTGCCTAGGGAAGCAAGTTTAAATTTGTTATAGACACCTCAGAACAAGGCGGCATTTGCGTAGGCGTACGTATTTCTTCTTCGCAGGCAGGGGCGGACTCACAGAGGGACAAATGGGGTCAGGCCACCCTATGGCAGCTGGAAAAAGTTGTAGTGAAGCTCCGTTGAGACCCCATGGAGCGCTGATGTGCGACCTCAAGGAGCACATCAAGTGCTCGACGAAATGCCCAGCAAAGAAGGAAGAAGCTTGCGCAGCGTGCGCGCGAGCTCTGTTTTTTTTTAAATCGCCTGGCCTAAACGACGCCGTTTTGGTCCAGGAGTGTTAAATATTTTTATTTTAAACCTGGCTCCAAAACGACGTCGTTTTGAAGCCATGTTTTAAAAATAAAAAAAAATCGCCAACAACACCAGCTTACCTCCCCTCCCGATTCCAGAGCAGCTCTTGCCAAAACCTAAGGGGCCGTTCGGTTAAGTTTTCAGCGCCCGTTTTCATTTTCTGAGAATGAAAACAAACCAAGAATCCGTTCGGTAGACTAAAACAGAAAACAGTGAGAATGTTTTCATAAAATGAAAACAACATAACGTGTACTTTGGAAAAACAGAAAAAATATGTTTTCATTCTCACAGAAAACAAACTCCTAAACCATAAACAGAAACCCACAACCCCATCACTCTACCCAGCAAAACAGAAACGAAACGAAAATCACACCAAAACATAAACCAAAATCAAACATACCACGGCCACGATTGTCAGACCATCATCATCTCAACCGCCATGACTCTGCCATTGCCACCAAACCTCACAGACCCAGTCCCCACATCACCACCACCTATCAAACCCAACCGACACCAACACCAACACCATGCCAATGGAATCACGACCAACACCCAATCGAACCCAATACACATCTCGCCACCTAGTAAAAAAGCAATCGACCCCTAGCACCTCCACCACCCATACCCAATCAAAGCATCACCATCGCCACCACCACCCAATTAAGGAGAGAGAGAGAGAGAGAGAGGTGGGTTGGTGGGATTCATGCCATGGAAAGGAGTGGGTGCAGCGGCATGAAGAGATAGTAAAAAAGAGGGAAGGGAGAATGAAAGAGAAAGTAGAGGAAGAAAGAAAGGAATGGCCCGGAAAGGGAGAAGAAAAGAGAAAGGAGAGAGGAAGAAAGAAAAGGAAAAAAGAAGAAAAGAGGAAGAAAAAAAAAGAGATAAAAATAAATTTAACTTTTAAAAAACAATATAACTTTTTATTTGTCAAATTATACTTTTAAAAAAATGTTTTTTAGAACATAAATTAGCAAAAATATGCTTAAAAAATAACTCACATATTATTATTATTATCAAATTGTACTACCAGACACGTTTTCATTGTTTTTGTTTTCTGAAGATGTTTTCCAATTAATCTACCAGACGCATTTTCATTTCCTGAAAATGCAAATTTGTTTTCTTGTTTTCATTCTTTGAAAATATTCTTAGAAAACACTCTCTGAAAACGTTACCAGACGGGCCCTTAATTTTTTTTCTCAAAATTCCCTCTCCTCTCAAAACCCTAACTAATCTCCAACCTCCAGCACACCACCAGGCGCCGCCCACCTCTTGCTCTACGAGATGTCCACCACCAACCAATACAAGGCGCCGCCGTCGCCGACCACCTCTTGCTGCCGCTGCCATCGCTTCTCATAAAGTCAAGTGAGTGATAATTTTACATATATTATTTCGGGCTTTGGATAGTTTTAATGTAAAGGAGTAATGTTGGTTTTGTAATTTGTTTTCTTTTGGTCACTTTGGTATGTAATTGTACATTTATGTATGCAAAAAGCACTCTTGCACACAGTGGCGGATTGTAAAAGCCCAGAAATTTTTCCTAGACAGAAAAAATCCATAATTGAGAAAAATCGCTGCCCAAATGCATATTCTAAGACATATGTGATGGGATAAACCGAATCTTTTTGTTTTTTTCCAGGATTGAAATGATAGATATCATATAAAACCATAGATTTAAATTGTAACCAAAAGCTTAAAAAAAGAGAAGAAAAAGAACTTTAAAACTAATATCTAAGCTATAATTAAAGTGCATACATTAAACAACTGAATCAGTCTTAAGAATTTTAGTTGGCATTTGTGGAACAACCATTTATTAACACACACACACACACACATATATATATATTGAAGTTAATATAAGCTAGTCTTCTATTTTAAAGAAAAGTTTACTCAAAGGGGAGGGTGGCTAGGGTAGGCCGTGGAGAATTTGGGGTAAATTGGGTTTGAACTGATTTTTGGGGTGAGGCCAACTATGGCTGGCCTTGTTGATTCTTTTTCCACTTCAGCCAAAATGCTCGTTTTGTCAAACAGATGATAGGCAATTCTTGCCCAGCGACATCTAGCTTTGCAGAGGTCAACATATTTCACTCATATGGAGGATTCCGACATTGCGAGCGTCAATTGACTACCTTTGCCCCAACGTGGGTCCGCCCTGGTAGCATCACCACCGATCTTCAACTTCTTCTTGCTGCTAACAGCAACATCCTCACCAATTGATCTTTTCCTATTTGCCATAATTTCATTGAACTTGGCTTTCAAGTCCCGCTCACCTTCTTCCAACTTGCCTACGTTGCTAGTTGGCTTTGAACTTGCCTACGTTGCTAGTTGGTTATTCCGACACTAACTATGCTGGAGATTACAACACTCGTCGATCAACTACCCGATACTCTCCTTGGAGGTTGTGTCCCAGTCCTCCTTGCTGTTCCTTCTGCTGGTGGCTCAGTCCCATTTACACCATGACTCAGAGACTAGTTTGGCTAGCTGCACAAAGGTCTGCTACTTGTACCTGGTTTTAGTAGTCTGTTGAAATCTTTCATTAGGTCTAATTGTGTTTGGTTTAGTCTTAATTAGTGTGTTTTTTCTGGTTTGTGGGGGTGTTCAGTGCTGGGTCTAGAACAACGTGCTGGGTGATTAGCTCTAAGTTCTTGTAATGCTAGCAGAGGTACTAGTTTATCTATATATATGTTATGGTTGATAAATGTGATGGTGTGTTATTGTAGCAGCCCTAGAAATGAAGCAGAAGAGTCACCTCACTTCACTAGTTTCTTGGTAATCTCTTTGTCCCATGAGCTGCAAGCTGTGCTTTACCTTATTCGAAGAACTACTTCTCACATTACATTTGGACCCACTTGTTTAACATTTTGGCTGGAGGTGAAATTCTGTTACATGTCAAATTGAAAATTAACATCTTACATTTGCCCATCTTCCCTGCGATTTGGACATGAACAAAACTACAGAACTAATATTTCCAATATTACAAGAACAGAGGCTGAAAATGCAAAGTAAATGAATACTACAGTTCGCACAACCAGAAAGTGTAATATGGCCTTTCATTTAAAGAAAAAAGTTTTAAAACATCACTCCAAGTATCGATGCGCGGTTGTACTATTTATTATTAAAAAAGGACCCGGGGATAGCGGCTACTATTAATTTTAAAAACACGTATAGCCGGTCGGCTGTACTCTTTTAATATATTATATTTAAAAGGTATAGCCGTGCGGTTATACTATTTATTATTAAAAAAAAGAGACCCAAGCCGCGCGGCTGTACTATTTATGTATAAAAATGGACAAAAATAGTATAGACGTGCGGCTATACTATTAATTTGAATTGGTTTTTTTTTTTAAAAAAGGGAGATTCTTTTAATATATTATATTTCAATAACATAGCCGCGCGGCCGTACTATTTATTAAAAATATTATAATTTTCGCAAGTTACAACTGAAAAGTTCCGCTTGTATATAATATCCTACGATAATTTATTTTTATATATATTATTTTTAATCAATAATATGTGGAAATTATGTGTATAATCTTTGAAGTTTGTCTGTATTATTGAAAATTTTGTAAAAATATGTGTATTAAACATGAAAAATACATATGTATGTGTACAATACGTGTGTTTTATGTTTGCTTTTTTAAAAAAACTTGTATTTTACCGAGCTTTTAAGACGTGTATGGAAAACGGACCAAGTCAAGCGGAGCTCATATCCTGTTGATGTCGAGTAAGTGGTAGTTTACTTGCTCGACATAGGGAGAGGTAGCTTGCTTATTTAGTGTGGAAGGCTAATTAATCACAAATAACATGTGTTCTTTCAGGGTTGTGATGCTTCTATCCTACTTGATTAAACTCCCAGAAAACCATCTGAAGAGCATCCAGCAAACAATCTGAGCTTAAGAGCCTTAAAAGTGACCGATGATACCAAGACTAAGATTGAGGCTAAATGCCCTAAAATTGTGTCATGTGCTGACATCCTCGCATTTACAGCTTGTGATAGTGCACTCAAAGTTGGTCGGCGAGACAGAAGAGCTTCCCTCCAAGATCACCTTCCCCCCACCTTCCTTCAACACCAAGGAACTTGAGGACAGTTTCGCCCGAAACAGCCTTCGCTTGGTTGAAATGGTCACATTGTCCAGTCACATTCTATTGGTGTGTCACATTGTTTATTTGATAACTATCCCCCCTAAAACTTTATTTATTTTTCCTTGTATGCATAAAATCCTAATGCGTTCAGATTAAAAGAAGCCAAATTAGCGTTAGACCCAATATCAACACATTAAATAGTTTAGCTTGAATAAAATAATAGAATTGTCTTCAAAACTTAGGAGATGTACTAATTTCTTTCTCAAGTCTCTGCAAATGTACACATAGGTAGGCACAAAATAGTTGCGTTTATAAACAGAACACATTTGACATATAAAAGAAGTGAAGAATACCATTCAGAGGAGATATGTGGAAGGTTAATAACTAAAGTAAATTGAAATTTGTGGTAGTTAGGAAGCTCGTTCTCAAACATGAAAGCTTCAAAGGGTAATCAAAGGGAAGCACTGACGGCGTCACCTTCAGCTGCTGCCACGTGTCGTTTAGTATGATTTAATATTATTTATCTTGAATTTAACTTATAAAATTCATAATAAATTAATTAAAAATCCAAAAAATACACCGAAAATTCCTAAAAACTCCTTGTGACATTCTCTACACCTTCACCTTCAAGCTCTAAAAGTATAATTTTGAGTTATACAAATGTAAATTGATAATAAAAACTCAACTTTGTTTCTAAAACACTAGTTGATGTTTTATAACCTAATATTCATGTTCTTTGATTCAATGATTACCATGAACTCAAATATGTGGAATCTTTATTTTAAATCTCCAGAGTCAAAGATATGTCGTAAGGAGTTTGTAGCAATTTTGTGTGTTTTTTATTATTTTAATTTTTAATTTTTTAAATGAATTTTTAAAGGTAAAACTTGAAAAAAGTAATCAAAACAACATGTGCCACAATCGTGGGATGCCACCTGTTGGAAACAATGATGGCACCATCTTCAGTTGTTGCCACGTGTCACCCTATACTATTTAAAATTATTTTTTATGAATTTAACTTCTAAAATTCATAGTAAATTAATTAAAAATTCAAAAAATACATCGAAAATTCCTAGAAACGCGTTGTGACATTCTATACACCCTCAATCTTTACAAGTATAATTTTTAAATTATAAAAATGTAAAATAATAACAAAAACTCGAATTTATTTAAAAACAATCTAAAATACTAGTTGATGGTCTATAACTTAACACTCGTGTTCTTCGATCCAACAATTACCTTAAACTCAAATATGTGAGATCATGATTTTGGACCTCCATAATTGAGGATGATGTCATGAGGAGTTTGTATCAATTTTTGGTGTATTTGTTTGATTTTTAATTATTTTGAAAGATAAACTTGAAAAAATTAATCAAAATAACATGTGGTGCAATCGCAGGACTCCACCTGCTGGAAACACTGACAGTGCCACCTTCAGCGCTCCCACTTGTCGATCTATACCATTTAATTGTATTTTTCATGAATTTAATTTCTAAAATTCATAACAAATTAATTCAAAATACACTGAAAATTCCTAGAAACTTCTTGTGACATTATCTATGTCGTCAAGCTCTAAAAGCATAATTTTTATTTAAAACGGAAGCTTCAAGGAAGACAGAGTAATTCGATCTTTTGGGAATGGGGGATTCAAGTAAGAGTTCATTATGGCATAACTTGGCGCAAGGAATTTGCTTTTTATAACAAAAACTCAACTTTGTTTCTAAGCAATTGAAAACACTAGTTGATGTCTTATAACATAATACTCATGTTCTTTGATCCAACTTAATTGTTTTATTTAATTATTTAATTGTAAATTTACATATTTGCCCTTGGAATAGAGGTATTTTAGTAACTTTTTATTCGAAAAGGAATTTAGGAATTTGAGTGCCGCCTTTGCATAAAGCTCGTCGATACGAGTTCGTAGACAGAAGGCATGCTCAATTTCGATTTAAAACGAAGGAGTTATGAACTACAAAAGTGCATGGCACAATCGTAATTTTGGCAAAGTCAGATTTTAAAAAGCTGGACAGTTTTCTTCTCTCTCATTTCTTTCTCTCTCCTCTCTCTGACTCCTCTCTTCGCACAACGCCGGATTTTTGAACGGCAATTTCGTCGTTGTCCAGCGACCATTTTTGGTGAGACTAGTCCCAAAAGTTTCGTATCGACGTCCTCTACCTAACCCAACCCTTCACCCTCCTAAAAAACACAAGGATTTCGGACTGGATTGACAAGAAGTTTCAGCAGAAACTTTCACCGTCAGCGGGGACGTTTCCAGCCACCTCAGCCCGCGCCATCACTTGGAAAAGGTTCGTCTCCTCTCTCTCATGCTTTCCCCTAGGTCCACGACACTAATGGTGGCTGTCTTTGCCGTTGCCAAGTAGAGAATGACGATTAATCTAGAATGTATCGTAAGTTATGAAATAGTACATGAACATTTCTTTTTAAAATTTGGTGAAAAATCAGAATTTGTAAATAAAAAATGAAAAGAAATATTAGAAAAATAGGGGAGAAAATTCATCCATCCCAGCCCATCCCCCATCTCCATGCTCCTTTCTCCCCTCCCTCCCCCTCGATTCTAACCACCCTAGCCTGCTAGCCACCCCTCCACCACGACCATCCCACCCCACACCCACCTGAAACCCAACCTAGATCAAATTCAATTTTGTGTATGTCAGTCCAGTTAAAAGAAGAAAAAAAAACCCATATATGGAACTTGAGTTTCGTGGATGTCAAAGAGAGAGAGAAGGGTTGGATGGTGGGAGAAGAGGTAGAGGGAGGGTGCTGGATGATGGATGTGAGGTTTTTGGTTGTCGCACAGAGAGATGGGGAGATAAGAGATAAAAAGAAGAAGAAGGGAGAAGGTGAAATTGAAGCCCACAGGTTATGATCTTTCTAGTGGGTAAAAGAGACCCGTTTGTAACTTAAGCTGCTTTTCAATCCAGCCGTCCAATTTCATCCAACGGCTGCGATCTGTCCTCAATTACATAATATTCCTCAAGATAGACACACTCATCATACGAGACCAAGGCGGCATTTGTATAGGCGTACATCTTTCTTCTTCACAGGAGGCGTCTTTTTTCTTTCACAGTCGAGGGCGTCTTTCTTCTTCGCAGGCGAGGGCGTCTTTCTTCTTTGCTAGTGTCTGGCACGTCTTGCTGAGAAAGTCAGCGTCTTCCTTCTGGAACCCGCGTCCCAGCACAATCTCTCTCACTGTTTGATTTTTGTAAGTCTTGCTTTTCGTAGCACCTATATGTGTGATCTAACTAGTGCCAGGTATGTAATTGGTTTTGTAATGTGTTTTATTTTGGTCACTTTAGTATAGGGGTGGGCATTGGAACCGCAAAACCGCAAAACCAAACCAAACCAAATTGAAAAAATTCAAAAAAAATCGAGTTGATCGGAAAAGTAAAGAACCGTGACAAATCCAAATCAGACCGGTTCAGATCAGTTCTGATTTCGGTTTCCCACCACAATGTGTTTTATTTTGGTCACTTTAGTATAGGGGTGGGCATTGGAACCGCAAAACCGCAAAACCAAACCAAACCAAATTGAAAAAATTCAAAAAAAATCGAGTTGATCGGAAAAGTAAAAAACCGTGACAAATCCAAATCAGACCGGTTCAGATCAGTTCTGATTTCGGTTTTCCACCACAGAGAACCAATCCAATCCGAACCGGTCCAATATAATTATATATATATATATATATAGTTTAACACATGGACGATTTTGATTGGTTGTCTAAAGTTCTACACTAGACGCGCATGCACATGATTTTCACAAAATTTTAACACAGTACGACCTAGGTTTTTTCTCTTCTTCCTCCCATTTCAGCCGCTAACCTCTCTCTGCGTGAAAAACCTCTCTCGGCCACCCTCGTTTTGTCAGCCTCCTCTCTCTCTCTCTCAGCTGTCGCGCCGCCGTCACTCTCACTCACGCAGGTCAGATTCTCTCTGTTTATTTTATTTTATTTTATTTTATTTTATCCCTTCGATTCTGTTTGACCAATTTGTGTGTCCTCCTCCAGCAGCAGCAGTTCGCACAGACCAGCGTCAGTTTTCACGCAGCTTCCAGCAGCAGTCGCACCTTCCAGCAGCAGTCGCACCTTCCAGCAGCAGCAATTTCCAGCATAAATTCTGTCTCTCTCAGGTATTCTTTATCTCTTGCTTTCTCTCTCTCTCAGATATTTTGAATTTGATGTTTTGCAATTGAAATTTGGACGTTTGCAACTGAAATTTGTGCTAGGCTAGGCTTAGTTTGTATTTTTGTACTCACAAGTTGATTTTAGGTTATATTTAATCAACTGACAGAATTTAAAAAAATAAAAGGAAATTGTTTCAAGTTGAAAAGATTTAAGGTGGTGTGGATGAATGATCTTCATGGGTGACCCACTTCACATTATTTATTAATGTGAGGTCTGTATAGTCTGCCATCGTGAATTGGCCATTGAGTTTTCATCTACCAATTAATTTGGCATAGTATCTCCTGCAATTGTACATTTCTGTATGCAAAAAGCACTCTTGCACTTGGAAGATAAGCTTCAACAATGTGTTTGATAAACTAACGTTTTCCATTTTCAAGCTTTGATTTTGATTTCTTTTTGGGCTGATTTTTTTTGTAGGCTTACCTTACCATGAATCATGCTGGAAGTTTTCCTGACTATAACAAATTCGAGACATTACCATGTTATTTCAGCACCAATGCATATGGCACTCCCAGAACGACTGTGGGTGGTGTACAGTGTGACAACTTTTTTCAGGCTATCGGGGTTGCTGTTGCTGAAAATGTGTACGCTGACATTGGCCCTAACCTGCAGGATGAGAACCTGGACATTG